TATATATATATATATATATATATATATATATAATTTAGATGGGAAAAAAAGAAAAAAATCACCAACTTTAAAGGAAGATACATGTAATTGTGGTTTTCATTTTTTATAATTTACTTTCTATTTGGGCACAGTTGAAAGGTTAAAGGACCACTAAAAGAAAAAAAAGTCAACAATGGTCCACCCAACTTATCTTGAATCCCAAATCCTAGCAAATCAATAGCCAAAATGTACCTTTCATGTTTATAACTGGCTCGTGGATTGGGTTGCTTAATTGCTAGGCCATCATTAGCTAGAATAGGTTTTTGAGATGTTATCCAACACTTAGCTTGATTGATCATAAAGGAATCATTTGGATACTTGTTTACACAGCAATATTCCAATTCCTTTTAAGGATCCATGCAAGTTGGCGTGTTGCATCAACTACAGGCTTCAACCCCTTTCTTAAAATTAATTCAAATAGTTAAGATTAGATAAAATAAAAGATAAAAATTTAATTTTAATTAAATAGATTAGGATAAAAAAATTTATTGGGATATCATAGATTTTTTTATTATTTTAAAAAATTATATTTTATCTTTTTAATTAATATAAATAGGTGTTCTTAGATCAATCAAAACACTATAAATTAAAAATACTCATTGTATTTTCTACTAATATTTTCTCTTTTTCATTGAAAATCTATAGAAAAATCAATAATATGGTATCAAAGTTAACAATGTGGTATTATGTTCGAAGAAGATAAATAGGAGTATATTGATTAAAAAAGAAGGGAAAACTAATAGATCCAAAAAAAAAAAGAAGATGATGATAGACGTTGGAGTAAGTGTTCATATTCAACTCTTTCTTATCTTCAAAAGTGATAACGATCAATTTTGGACTATTAAAATGAAAATCAGATTTCAAGAAAAAGATCAAAATAGCATAGATCATGATTGATCAAATGAGAGTTAGAGGAACTCGAATGAAGGTAATAAAGAAACTCATCAATGTTTTTATTATAAAAAAATTGACACATTGAAAAGAATTATTGGTTAAAAAATAAAAATCTAAATATTCCTCTCTATTTTTACTATAAAAAATATGATCATCTAGAAAAAGATTATTGAAAAAAATCAAATAAATTATTATAAAATAATAATAAAAGAGATAAAAAAAAATATATTTTTTATAATATTTGATGAAAAATATTTTAGATCATTTAGTATTTGAAGAATGGATGTAGTAATCATCGTTATTTTCCTTTTATCAGAGCAATGAACGGAAGGCAACAGTCGATTAGGGAAGAGAGAGTCATAGTCACATGCCACCTCCATCACCAGCAGCCAAGCCAACAATTAGCGTACCATCAAATGCATGATATATCGGTTGCCGACGTTCGCTTGGAATGGATTGTCTTATCCTTTCAAAGAGAGTGACGACGCTCTAGTTTTACCGGCGTGGGTTTAGCAGGAAGTCTTCGATAAAATGGAGTAAAGGAAAAGAAATGTTCATACAACATTTCTATCACGCATAAAATTAAACCCAATTACACTTAAAATTAAATTAAAATTTAAATATCCAAACAAGATCTGATCGGTTCACTTAAAATATTCAATTTAAAATTGGCCCAAACAAGATTTGATCGGTTCAACATAATAAAAAGGACTATGAATTCTTTCTTGATTCTATTGTTAATTGACATAAATAGTGAGAATGTCTCCATACAAGTAGTGAAATTTTTTTCTGATAAATATCATAAAATACTGATTAAAAATCTAAGAAAAAAATCTAAGTTCTCAATTCTTCAGACAACTTCTCAGATGAAAATGCTAAATACAGTGAACCTAAAGCCACAGCTGAACAACTTTCATGACCTTACACAACTTGGAGAAACCTTTTGCCTCAAAGACCTCAAAGGGACACTTCAACCACAATATCCAGCCTGTCTCAGATATAGCATTGATTAATTTGGTTAAGTTGGTAACATGATCACACAGAACCTAAAATCGACTACAAGTCCCTGCTTGAAATCCAATAATGGAAGTAGCTCCCAGTTTGTATGCAGAGAGAGATTCACTGGATAGGAGGACGACAGATTCCTTTCTCCTCTGTTATATTGCTTAGTTAAGTATTGACTTGCCTTAAAACGAAGCCGGCGAGTGTCCAGAGCTATACATCGGTTGACAAGCCACAAGAAGTTGTGTGCATCTCT